TTTATCCTTCTTTAGTTTTGACAAGATTTTCCCCCTCTTAACTGGACTGAGCATACTATTGATATTACACGAAGCTATTTTTAAAGATCTGTTTTGCATCTATGCGATTCCCCCCTCCATCTCACTCAGAAACCTAGCGTGCTTCCATCTACCTGCAAAAACCGGCAGGGAATGAACAACTAAATAGTGAACAACTAACATATAAATTAACATCCAACTGAGCTTAATTTGTCCGTGTGACTCCCAATGTAGGGGTCTGTTAACCTGACCCTGTTGAGCCATCCGGGGCGGCTTGAAGGGAAAAGTCTCCCTCCTCAGTCTGGAGAGAGAGGCCTTTACCTGTGATGGTCGCATGTCGAAAAGGGAGATAGAACAAAGGAAAGTCAAAGTTAGAAAAAAAAAACTGACCCCGGACGAATCGGTCTATAGAATGGTGGGTCTCCACCACTAATTACAATTTTGGAACAGTTCAACAGATTTTACTCTTGACTCCGCTGTCCTTGAGCTGGGCATAAATCCTTTAGGTCCCAACTGGATGTCGGTGAAGGTCTCTTGAAGGTTAGGAGCTTCTCCTTGTAGCTTAATTCACGTCCGGCTTTAGTTGTACCCCTCGTCACTTGCCTATCTGCTCTCCTCCAAGTCAGCTGCTGCACCTGTTCCATTAGTGTTTCCGGAGGTCTGGTGGTCGTCACGGTGTAACCCCTTCTCAGCAGGTCTTCGGCTGCCTCTTCTATAGTGATTTTGGTTCCGTCTTCATGTCTCACACGCAGTCTGGCAGGGAAGAGGGTCTGGAATTGAGCTTTTTTTTTTCCCTTCACTTTGCGGATCTCTGTATATTCTCTTTGTTTTTTAAGAATAAGAGGTAGATAATCATGGTCCAGGTTTATGTGGTTTTCTTGCCAGGTAAATCCCTTTCCCTGCCATGCCTTGCTGAGTAATGTCTGTTTCGTTTTGAAGCTTAAAAGCTTCACTATGATGGAGTGTGGCAGCGCATCCACCTGCAGTTGTGGACCCACCGACCGGTGAGCTCTTTCAATCTTCAAGTCGGGTATGTCTTCCATTAGCCCGAGACACTCACGGAGTAATTTTTCCACGAATGAGACCATCGTTGTTGATTCTTTCTTGGATCCCTCTGGCACCCCATAGACCCTTTCGTTCTCGCGTCTGGAACGGCTCTCCAAATCCAGCAACTTGTCCTCCAGCTTAACGTGCAGCTTTAGCATGGCCGTGATGACTTCTTCCGTGTTTTGGATCCTCTCCTCCGCTTTCTCAATTCGCCCTTCTGCTTCGTCCAGTCTGGTATTCGCCTTCACAATTTCTTCTTTTATTGTCTCTAACTGTTCTTTGTTTTCTTGGCGAAACCCTCTTAGCTCTTGCAGAACCAGCTCCAAGTCGGCCATTTCTCCACACAGACCCCCATTGTTTGCTAGCTTGAGCTTGTTAGACGCGAGTTATTCACATTGCTGCACCCCCGTCTTTCTCACCCACCTGTCTTCGGACGGCTTTTACTGCTCAGAGTGGTGGTAGGATTCTTATCCCCTCTCTCTAGGCTTTTAGTCAGAATTATTTAATCAATTTGTATAGGGGAATTTCTCGAATTACTGTGGTTCCACCGGGAGCTCTCTCGCTATGCGGCCATCTTGACCGTGTTCCAACCGGAAATCTACTCAACAATCAGCACAGTTTTACCCAAGACTAGTGTCACCAATTCAGTATCTGACCAAATGTCTCCCCCTCTGTCATGATGTTGAGTAATGGCCAAAAAAGTGTTTTTGAATAATATTATGATGTCACAGTGAAGTTGACCTTTGACCTTTTGGATATAAAATGTCTTCACTTCATAATTATATCCTATTAGACATCTGTGTGAAGTTTTGTCATACTTAGCATATGAATTCTTGAGTTATGGCCAAAAGTATGTTTTGTGAGGTCACAATGACCTTGATCTTTGACCTCTAACCACCAAATTCTAATCTATTCATTCTTCAGTCCAAGTGGATGTTTGTACCAATTTCAAGGAAGTTCTCTCAAGGCCCTCTTGAAATATCAAATTCACAGAAGGTCAAAGTGACTTTCACCTTTGACAACCAAAATCTAATCAGTTCATTGTTGAGTCAAAGTAGATGTTTGTGCCAAATTTGTAGGGCTGTATTCAACCAAAGAAAATCTTGGTCGACTAAAGTTGCACGTAATCTTCAACTAATCGATTAGTTGTGGGGAAAAAAAAAAAAATCTACGTTATTTTTACTTCTGCGGTGGTGTGTCTGTCACTCTGCAGTTACACATCCAAAACACTAGTCGGTGGTGGAGGACTGTGTTAACTGCTGTAAAGTTTAGGGATAGACCGATATGGATTTTTTAGGGCCGATGCCGATACCAATTTTTTTCCATCACCCTTAGCCGATGACCGATTATGGACTGCCGATTTTCTTGAGCCGATATTTGGGGCCAATACTGCTTTTGCTCCCTCAATTTACATCAAAAAAAATGACACAATGATAACTAATATGACAGGTCTCAAGTTTAAAATAAGAAACATTTATTGAACAGTAAAAAATACTAAAACAAGATGGAAAGTTGAGGTAGAACAGGTAGAATATTATTATTATTATTATTATTATTATTATTATTATACATTCAAATAAAAAAAAAGAGTTCAGTGCTCTTAAATCTTCCAGTAATGTCTTTATAAAATAAACAAATATTTAAGCATAAATAAAACAACAACTACTGTACACAGTAGGATTCAACAGCTTTGTTCAACTTAACCACATACTTTCAAATGAAAAAAAGTGCCAGGGAAAAATAAATCCGCGAACCCACACGCGTATTGGCTGATGCCGATACAAGTAAAAAAACTCAAATATCGGCCCGATATATCGGCCGGCCGATGTATCGGTCTATCCTTAGTAAAGTTTAGTTCAAATCAAACTTTATTTATATAGATTCAAAACACACATTAAATATGGCTTAATAGGGACAATTTCAACCACAAGTACACAAATTTGCTTCATTATAAATCGCAGAACTGACAGACAAACACTTGTCTTTATCTGGACACATTTCCCCCACCAATACCACATACTAACGTTATTACCACAAGTCTATGGCGTTTTACATTGTATAGATTAGCTTAGCATCTAGCGATCTTTTCCTCTTCTCATATAAAACCAGGAACAACGGCAACATGTAACAAAGGTAACGGCATAAATTGGCTCCATTACAACTGGGAACTGCCCATTGGTTCGACATCCCATTGTTCCGACCATATTAAACCCATTTTTTTCGAAGTCCGTTCCGAAATCATCATGATGCCCTGTGGTTAAGGTCTGGTTAGGTTTAGGCACAAAAACCACTTGGTTAGGGTCAGGAAAGGATCATGGTGTGGGTTAAAATGAAAAAGAAAGTGACCAACACTTAAGCCGTGAGCCTGCTCTGCCTCAAGCCTTTCCCAGCTGACCCAGAGCCGGTCGCGGCGCACCATACGCCTGCCGCGAGCAGTTCAGCACCGCAGACAGTCAGACTAATGGGCTGTCGGCCCAATGACATGGACCCTTACAACTCACTACATTCACCAGTAAAACAACTGTCTTATACTATACACGTTTTCCAAGCAAATACAACATGCTAACGTTATTAGTGCCAGCCTATGGCATTTTACATTGTATACATTAGCCTAGCGACGAGCGGAGATTTCCTCTGCTCATATGAAGCCAGGATAAATCCCGAAGTATAAATCTCTGAAGGATAAATCACACACACGACTTATAATGCTATTTTAGTAGAGGCTTTACTGTCTTCACAATTTATTGTTTCTTATCTGTGAAATACAAGTAAATACAAGCTTCGTTTCCACTGAGGGACATGGTGCCAGCTTACAGAAACAGACAGGAGGTCTGCGTCACCGCGACGCTAAGCGTGAGGGTGGGCGAGCTCAACTTTCTGTCAACAACAGAGGTACTTAGCCTGTCCCCCCGCCGCAGGAAATAATGGATTAATCCTGGAAAGCTGTTGTTGTAGCACTTTTCTCCTTATGAAAGTAACACAGCGATTATTCGACTAATGAGAATTTGGTCAGACAAGAGCATAGTGACCAAATAATCAACTAGTCGACCAGGAGACTACAGCCCTACAAATTTGAATTAAATCCCTCGAAGATTTCTCAAGATATCACATTCACAAGAATCAGACGGACAGATGGACAGGCAACATAAAGCTTGCTGCCACAGCTGTTGCCAGTGCAGAGGTATAAAAACAGCCAGAGTGTATCACAGCCTCTACAGAAGCGGTGTGTGTGTGTGTGTGTGTGTGTGTGTGTGTACAGTAAATGTTCATCAGAGTTTGCAGTTTGTTCACAAATTGACGCTGCAGCTCCTCAAGACCAACAGATGTTTCCCATGTCTTGTTTCTCGGCTGCTTAGTGGAGTGATGGGACTTAGCTCCAGAGTGAGTAGGACTCCGGCCCTGGGGACAAAACAAAGCATCTCCCCCTGTGCTTTCGGACCATGGTTGGGAAACTAAAGCAGGAAAAGCAAATGGCTTATAAATCCAGCACACCCCTTTCCTTTAGAGCAGTGAAAAACACAGCAAGTGGCAGCCAATTGCTGTCTGTGGAGAGCTGCCATGCAATGTCTATGAAAAGCTGCAGCAATTGCATTCTGCAGCCAATCAGTAAGCAGAGTGCTGTGACTCCTGTGACATGTTGACTGTTGGTACAAAGCTTTTTTTACCACATGAAACACATGAACGTGTCCACACAGTCTTAGATTAGCGAATGCAACCTTTATAATACCCACACCAAAGCTCACCCCAAACTTTAAATCGTTCATGTTGTAAAAAGCATAACTTTGTCTTAGTATCTAATTTTTTCACTGTAGAAATTCTAAATGTAGTCACTACAATGATTTGCAGACACTGGCCGACTGACACGCTAATTTCAAAACGAGTTTCAAAACTTGTTTTTTTTCCACATCAAGTAGTTCATGGAGCTGATGTCTTACCGCCCAAGTTTTGCTGAGTCTGAAGATGGGAGCGCTTTGCAGAGCAGACACCACTGACACCAGAGAATGAAGGTTGTTCAGCTCCAACAGTTTCTGGAAACAAACAACAGATATTTTACAAACAACTTGCAAAGTTCACAGTCAGTTGGTATTTCGAACAATGCATCTGAATCAGGTATGACAACAATGAAAAAGAAAAAAACATAAATATCTTTAATAACGCCTCCATGGTTTAGAAGATTAAGATGATGACCATATATCACAGTGTCCCCAGTTTAAATTCAGCCAGGGACCTTTGATGCATCTCTCTCTCCTTCATCTCTTTCTCTTCAGCTCAGGGCTGACACAGAAACAGACAACCATTCACACACACATTAACACCAATGGGCAATTTAGAGTCAACAATTACCTAATTAACCTTATCTGCATGTCTTTGGACTGTAGGAGAAAGTCCACACATACGAATTTCACACAGGGGCGTTTGAACCCTGAACCTTCTTATATGATAGATAATTTTTCCTCTGTACCATAGAGCCCTGTTGCTATCCAAAACCTATGAAAAACAGGTCAGTGAGCCACACTGCTACACTGGCTACTTTCTTTCATTACCATAAACACACACACTGCAGACGATTTTGACTCAATCCCACATACATCGTCCAGCTGCCACAAATACTCACGACTGGAAAAATTAAAATGTGGATTAATCTGCAGATGAAAATATTTCCTCCCACTTGAGCAATGTTTGATAAAAACTACAAGACTGGCAGTTTCAGTAAATTGCTTTGCCTTTTTTTTTTTTTTTAAATGAAACTGTACCAACTCCAATGGGCCAAACAATGAGCTTGGAGCTGAGAGCTACAGACAAAGAAGGGAAGTCTCAAAGTATTGAGAGTTGGACTAACACATTGTTAATATCAACAAAAATACAAGATAACATTAGACTTATCCTTCTGGGCCTGAAGCAGGGTTTCCACCCATGGATATGTGAACCCCACAGTGTGTCACCAACACAAAAATATTCTCCGGTATTACAAAGGCTTAAGATTGACATACAGTACAGGCCAAAAGTTTGGACACACCTTCTCATTCAATGCGTTTTCTTTATTTTCATGACTATTTACATTGTAGATTCTCACTGAAGGCATCAAAACTATGAATGAACACACGTGGAGTTATGTACTTAACAAAAAAAGGTGAAATAACTGAAAACATGTTTTATATTCTAGTTTCTTCAAAATAGCCACCCTTTGCTCTGATTACTGCTTTGCACACTCTTGGCATTCTCTCCATGAGCTTCAAGAGGTAGTCACCTGAAATGGTTTTCCAACAGTCTTGAAGGAGTTCCCAGAGGTGTTTAGCACTTGTTGGCCCCTTTGCCTTCACTCTGCGGTCCAGCTCACCCCAAACCATCTCGATTGGGTTCAGGTCCGGTGACTGTGGAGGCCAGGTCATCTGCCGCAGCACTCCATCACTCTCCTTCTTGGTCAAATAGCCCTTACACAGCCTGGAGGTGTGTTTGGGGTCATTGTCCTGTTGAAAAATAAATGATGGTCCAACTAAACGCAAACCGGATGGGATGGCATGTCGCTGCAGGATGCTGTGGTAGCCATGCTGGTTCAGTGTGCCTTCAATTTTGAATAAATCCCCAACAGTGTCACCAGCAAAACACCCCCACACCATCACACCTCCTCCTCCATGCTTCACAGTGGGAACCAGGCATGTGGAATCCATCCGTTCACCTTTTCTGCGTCTCACAAAGACACGGCGGTTGGAACCAAAGATCTCAAATTTGGACTCATCAGACCAAAGCACAGATTTCCACTGGTCTAATGTCCATTCCTTGTGTTTCTTGGCCCAAACAAATCTCTTCTGCTTGTTGCCTCTCCTTAGCAGTGGTTTCCTAGCAGCTATTTGACCATGAAGGCCTGATTGGCGCAGTCTCCTCTTAACAGTTGTTCTAGAGATGGGTCTGCTGCTAGAACTCTGTGTGGCATTCATCTGGTCTCTGATCTGAGCTGCTGTTAACTTGCCATTTCTGAGGCTGGTGACTCGGATGAACTTATCCTCAGAAGCAGAGGTGACTCTTGGTCTTCCTTTCCTGGGTCGGTCCTCATGTGTGCCAGTTTGGTTGTAGCGCTTGATGGTTTTTGCGACTCCACTTGGGGACACATTTAAAGTTTTTGCAATTTTCCGGACTGACTGACCTTCATTTCTTAAAGTAATGATGGCCACTCGTTTTTCTTTAGTTAGCTGATTGGTTCTTGCCATAATATGAATTTTAACAGTTGTCCAATAGGGCTGTCGGCTGTGTATTAACCTGACTTCTGCACAACACAACTGATGGTCCCAACCCCATTGATAAAGCAAGAAATTCCACTAATTAACCCTGATAAGGCACACCTGTGAAGTGGAAACCATTTCAGGTGACTACCTCTTGAAGCTCATGGAGAGAATGCCAAGAGTGTGCAAAGCAGTAATCAGAGCAAAGGGTGGCTATTTTGAAGAAACTAGAATATAAAACATGTTTTCAGTTATTTCACCTTTTTTTGTTAAGTACATAACTCCACATGTGTTCATTCATAGTTTTGATGCCTTCAGTGAGAATCTACAATGTAAATAGTCATGAAAATAAAGAAAACGCATTGAATGAGAAGGTGTGTCCAAACTTTTGGCCTGTACTGTATATCCATAAATTGTGACTACAGATGGATGATAATATAGTGCAATAACAAATAAATATTATAGGTTTTATTGCAACTACTGATAGACTGCTTGACTGTATTACAAAAGTTATCACCTAGATTAGAAAATACAGTGACATCATTATAACAGTCTCACAGCAAAACAGGAAAATTGTTCAAACTACAACAGGTCACAGTTGGGGCAGGATGTGAGTCTGTAAACTGTCATGCATGTTTACAACAGACAGTTTGTGCTACAATTTTACCGTTCACCTTCATTTTCTAGCAACCCAGTTGCCAAAAGAAAATGTTGGCATTGTATTTTTCAGCAAGACAGGTTATATTTGTGTATTTCATACATAAAATATTGGCATTTCTAAACACAGTGACGTAGTATATGAGCTGACTTTGTCATTAGGAGGTGGTGGGGATGGTGGGTGGTGTGTCACCTAGGCAAAATACTTAGCTTTTGCTGCAGACCACAGTTCAAGACAAACAACAAAACCAGTTGTTTTTTAGCAGGCTATCACTGCATTTCCATCTGCGTTTTAGCCAACAATCGTGGGTGTTTTTTAGGAACCTGTTGCTGTGTTTCCACTGCAGATAGTGCAACTTAATGTGTTTTTTTTTGTTTGTTTGTTTGTTTGTTTTTTTACAAAGACACCGTTGCATTTCCTGCTGGGATAACAGCACCTGTTCGATCTCACACAGGCTCCCCCCTCTATTGGGCACTGTGGGTAATACTCTGCTCCAATCACGAGCACACATTCACCCACTGAAGTTTGCATTAACATTGCTGGCCAATGGTTAATGGACCTGCACTTGTATAACGCCTTTCTAGTCATCCGATCATATTCACCCATTCACACACACATTCATACACTGATGGCTGAGGCTGCCACCTGCTACTCAATTTTTAACACACTCACACACCCATGGATGGAACAGCCATCTGGAGCTATTTGGGGGTCAGTTTCTTGCTCAAGGGACTGGAGGAGCCAGGAATCTTCCGATTAGTGAACGACCCGCTCTACCTCCTGAGCCACAGCCGCCCCTGGATACTGTGAGGAGCCCACAGTATATGAGGTCACAGCTGCCAGACTTCCTTTTTCTCTTCAGTGACGGCGAGTTGTCCACTGATCAGCCTTCTCTATGATTGGAGTCACCATTTCAGGAACCCGATGCAGAACATGCAGAGAGTGGTGTTCAGCAGCCACCAGCTTGAGAGGCCTGCAAGGCCTGTTAGGTGCTGCCCAAGTTTAGACGAAGCAGTTGCTTCTATGTGATGCTTCGCTTCAGGGAGCAGAAGCTCAGTATCAATGACGTCAAGATCCCCGCTTTTTGTAGATGATGGTAACATCTCATCAGTGTCTGTGGACTTTCCACGGGAATCTGCAGCTGACATCTGTCTGCCAGAACTTCCTGCTTTTGATGATTGTCTGCGGCAGGCCATGTTGGGCTCCTCTGCCATGGCTCTTACCAGTTGCATACTACCTGACCCTTCTACTTCTCCACTGTAGCATCCTAGATTATAAATTAGATGGGCTGCAGGGACTAAGCTCTAGCCAGTCATGATCAGTGTGGCTGGGTCAATGTTACACGCTCCACCCACTGTACCCATAGAGTCCAGTAGAGGTGTGTGATAAGGCCCGTTTCCACTGAAGAAGTTCCTGGTACTATTTGGGGGGCAGGAACTTAACAGGAACATCCTCTCGCTGGGCCCTCTCAACCGCCGTGTCTCCACTGAGAGGGCAGAGTAGGAGGAAGGTTCCTGTAAAGTTACCAGGCTCTGGACGTGATGTAATTGTTGCACGACCATTTTGACCAGGGCAACGCGGCAAAGAAACAAACAAAGAAGAACAACAACAAAAAAGAAGAAGCAGAGGTACGAAGCAGAAGTAAGAAGAAGAAAGCAGACATAAGAAAGACGATTATCAACATGGAAGGAACTGAGGTGGTTGCTGGGTTTCTGGCGTGTCTCTTCGTTTACATGGTGGTGGAAGCTATGAACGAGAGGAGAAGACGTCTCGAAGAGGACCTCGACAGGGCTGAAAGGGCCAGATGAGCTGGCTCATGAAACCTTTCATGGATAATGGCCGCCTAACTGAAGAGCAGACCAACTACAACGTCAAGCTCACCAGAGCTAGGGTGGTGGTAGAGAATGCGTTTGGGCGACTGAAGGTAAGATGGCGATGTCTGCTCAAAAGAAATGACTGCAGCTTAGACACAGTCAAGTCTATGGTTGTCACATGCTGTGTCCTCCATAATCTGTGTGAGAGCCACGGGGAGGACTTTAGGGAGGAATGGGCTGATCCTATTCACTTCAACCAGCCTGATGCACCGCTGCTAGATGGGGTAGATACAGGTGTGGCAGCACATGCTGCTCTAATGCATCACCTTAATAACCTT